CTGCTCTGCTCTGCGCGCGGCCGCGGCCCCCCCGAGCCCCCCGGGGCTGCTGCGAGGCCGGGGAAGTGCGGGGTCCCAGGGCTGGTGCCTGGGCAGGGCTCGCGGGTCCGGGGGTGGCCGTGTCTGCGGCTCAAACTTCCCCGCGGCCCGCCGAGCCTGCGGGGCCCAGGCACTGCCCTCCGTGTCTGCCTGCGCCTGTGAGCCCCGAAGCCCTGGAGGGGCTGGCTCTTTTCCTAGGACGTCGAGGTGTTCGCTGTGCTTCCCGAGCCGCCACCGGGCCGGCACTGCCCTGCGCCCCCAGCACCTCGGGAGCCCCCGGCACGCTGGGGCTTTCATCCCCTTACCTGCGAGTTGCGGACAGGGGCGCGCAGGGCCAGCGCCCGGTCCAAGGTCATCCTGGGATGAGCGGCAGAGTCAGGAAGAGAAGGTGGGAGCCCTGACTCCCAGCCCCGAGGGCCCTGCCTGCGTCACTGCCTAATGCCCCAGCCGAGCTGTCGTGGCAAGGTGTTTCCTTTCGCAGGCTCCCTTGCTGGCGCTGGGCTGCTGCGCTCCAGGGACTGCCAGTCCCAGGCTGCTAAAATTAAAGGTGAAGTAGGTCGGAGAGACCGGAGAAAACAACTGCAGGTGCTCGGAGCAGGCAAGAATCCGGGTGTCAGCAGAACGGGAAGCAGAGGATGTTTTTTCAGCTCTCCTTTCCTGCCTGCTTGGGGTCACGGCTGGGAGATGCTTCTCCCTGGGTGTTAGGAGCCAGGAATTGCTGCTGCAGCTGTTCTGGGGGCTGAGTCCCTGCCCCAGCCGGCCTCCAGCTCCCTGCCCTCCTGTTGTCTGTGGGAGGCAGTCCTGGGCTCTCTGATTTCTTAGAGCATTGGAAAATGGGAGCTGAACTGTGCTTGCCCAGCCCCCGGTGCTGCTGGAGGGGAGGGCTGGGGTTTTCCCTGGGGCCAAGGGCATTGCTGGCCTCAGCTGAAATGAGCTGCAACAGTGAGAGAGCCTCGGGGTCCAAGGGAGCCTGCGCTCCCGTGTTTAGCCCTGAAGTCCTACTGGATTCCCTTGGGCTCCTTGGAAAATCCCAGCCCGGAGGAGCCGTGTGCTGCCTGATAGGGAGGCGGAGAGGCTGGCCACATGGCGTTGCCGTCAGAGCAGAGCAGGGCCATTTGACACCAGGGTCACCAAGCTGGAGGATCGGGTGCTGGCTCTTGCAGGCTCCGGAAGGAAATTGGATTCCCTCGTGCCTTGGCCGGCTCAGCTGGGCCCAGACCGCCCAGAGAAAGGGGCTGAGCAGTGCCCTGCAAGCCCCCCTGCCCGGCTGCCCGGCAAGCAGCCTCCCCTCATCCCGTGGCCAAGGCAGGGGGCTCTTTGCGGGGCCCAGCTAATGTGGGCCCGTGCTCCGGTGGAGACGGGTGCTGCGAGCAGCTCCCCACTGCTGGAGGGCCTGCGCCCCAGGAGCCGTGATGCTGCCTTTGCCAGGCCCCGCGGGGCAGGCTGGGCTCGGGTGCCCACGCAGGGGGTGCGTGGCGTGGTGTGGCGTGGCCTGCAAGCTCTCCCCCTCGGAGCGGGGTGAAGGGTGTGCAGCCAGGCTGGGGCTGTGCAGCTGGCTGCATGCCGGCGCTTCTTCAGCAGCGCGTTTGTAGAGCAACAGAGGCCTCCAGTGGCCGTCGTGGTGAATCCCGCTGCACAGGCCTGAGGCTGTCCCGGGTCGCGCTTCCACAGCCCGCGCCCTCCAGTGCCGCGACTGACCCTGGCTGGGCTGGCTTCAGGCACCAAGTGCATCTGGGAGCATGGGGTGAGCAGTGGCAGTCGAGCTGGGGAGGACTTGGGGTGGGCAGCAGGGACTTGCGGGGTCTGTCCCTCGGGACCCCGCAGATCACGCTCCTCGCCCTCCTGTGAGCAGTGAATGCAGAGCTGTGGTGAAGGGCTTGGAGGTTTCTGCTGTAGGGTGAGGGCAGAGCAGGACCATTGTGCCAGGGCAGGCATCTCTCCCGTGCCACGGCCTGTGGCCTGCGCACACGCAGGTGTTCCACGCCTGCTCGCGCCAGTGCAACGGATGAGGTGCAGTGCAGCGGGCACTTGAGTCCAGGGCCCTTGAAGACTTGTAGAGGAAACTCGGTTGATAAATGCCGGCTCTTGCTGTTTGCGTTCCCGCCCCAAGGGTGCCCGGCAGTGCTTCTCCCCATCGCTGAGCAGTGCCCAGGCCTCTGGAGTGGCCAGTCCTGCCATCCAGACTAGCAGGGGCCTCGCGGCGTCTGCAGGGCCTTGGGGGCTCGCAGGTCTCTTGGGGAAGACTCCTGCCTACCTCCAAAACCAGGCTCAGGCTAGCAGGGGAGGCATTCGTTTAGCTGCATCGGTGCCCTCCAGCTGCCCCGCGGGCAGGGCTGGCTGGGCTGCGGGGGCCCCAGGCTAAGTGCCAGGCTGGTCCGGGGGCGAGCGGTGGCTCTGTCAGGCAGGATGCTGAGGAACATTGCCGCTGAAAGGAACCCAAACAACCCGGGGCCCAGTGCCTGCCCCGCCAGCCTCCCGGTGTGTCCGCATGGGGCTTGATGTGCAGGCAGCCTTGCACACATCTACCCGAGGGTGCAATGGGACAGGAACAGGATCAAGCTCCAGGTGATCCACACGCATGGTTCAGTAATGCCAAAGTCACAGCTGCACCGGGCAGCAACCGATGTGTTGCCAGCTGCAAGGCATGGCCTGTCCGGGAGGGTCCGGCCCCTGGAAGAGACACGGTGCAGTTGGATTCGCTCGCAAACCCAGGCACGTGCATGAGTGACTTCATGCGGGAGTTTGAGGGAGTGTGTGGGGCTGCTCACGAGTGCAAAATCACTCAGCCATGCACCTGTTTGCGAGGGGCGCTGGACTGCGACAGGGCTGGGAAACCAAAGGCTGATGCCCAGCTGCACCGATAAGAGACCAGGGAACATCTGCTGCCAGAGCAAACAAATATTTCCCTGCGGTCTTTGCAGCACAAAGATTGCAGCTTTGTGCTGGGCCTGAGTGTGGAAGCACACTTGTTTCCTCAGTCTGAACTGCAGAGTGCCAACAATGAGCACTTGAGAGGGTGACTGGGGAGCTGGGTTTTAAAAATATTCGCAGCTTTTGTCACCTGCCCGGTGTGATGGCAGCCTGCTATTCCTTGGTCCCGGAGGGCCTGGCGTTTTGCATTTGGGTCACCGTGTACTTTCTGTTGCAAAACATGCTTGCAAAGTTTTTGCAGTCGCGTCTGAGCCTGCCCCAGGGCAGGTGAGCCTTGCTCAGGGTGACTAAACTCAGGACTGGGACCCTGTGTCTGGGGGGGGGTGGGCTTCCCATTTCCTTCTGTAAGTGCCGCGGTATCTGGTCAGGGCTGTTGTTGCAGGGAAAGCAGCACCGCTGCTGCTGGGATCTGCAGGGCGCACCAGAAGCCACGTTCTGTGTGGCAGCCTGAGGCCCGGGGAAGGGCATGGGGTGGGCCTGTCTTGCTTATCCACAGGGCAGGCAGCTTCAGCCCTTCCAGGGCGAGGGAGAGGAGGCTGCTCAGCCCTGGACTGCCTGCCTGTTCTTGGAAGGGTTTTGTGCCAGGCGTCTCCTGTTGTAGCGGGAGTTGTGGAGCTGCGTGGGGTCAGGGACAAGGCCGACACCTTCTGCCTGTGTCATGGCTGGGGCACTAGCGGCCCTGGGTGGCTGCTGGCTGTGGCTGGGCAGCACCTCAGCTCCTGGGGGCACGGGAGAAGTGGCCCGGGGCAGAGGATCATTCTGCAGCGTGTGCTCGGCTGGCCCAAGAAGGGCTTTATGGGTCTGTCTGCTCCCAGCTCAGCTCCTTCAGTGCCCACCCGGAGCGGAGACAGTGCTGACACACTTGGGCTCTTCGCAGGGTGCGCAGAGTGATGGTGCCAGGGCCACTGCCTGCAGCACCCCCACTCCTCCCCCCCTTGCCTCGCTCACAGGCATGTCCCTGCCTCTCTTGGCCAGGGCTTTATCTGCTTTTTGACTGCATTATCTTCTGCTCCGCTAATAGGGAGGGGAAGGAGAGGGAAAGCTGCAGTCTGCAGTTTGAAGGTCATCTGTCAGCTGCAGCGAGGCAAGGCTTTCTGCAAAGCAGGCTGCTGAGATGCAGCTGCCAAGCCCAGCTCTTGCAGCTGCAGCCTCCCCCGGGGCTCTGCACCGTCCCTGTGGCACCCGCGCCCAGGACTGGAAACCTCCTTAGGGGCTGAGGCGAGGAAAGCCCCAGGCACCCAGGGAGGAAAACCAGTCGCTAGTGTGTGAGCTGGGAGGTCCAGCAACAGAAGAGGCTTTGCTACGTTTAAAAGCTGGGCTTGGATAAAGGTGCTGTGGGTAGGCGCGTGCCCTGGGGCTCCCCACTGGCACCTGCCTGGCAGCATGGCTTTCCCCGGGAGTCTCGGCTCCATCCCTGCTGCGGGCAGCGAGGAGCCCCTGCGCTGTACGTGACAGTGGGGCTTGCTCCCTTCCTCCAACGTGCTTGGCTGCCCTGGGCAGCGGGGCCACGGCTTGTCTTCGAGAAGGAGGACGAGAGTCAAGGAGCCAAGTGGTCTGGCCGTAGGTTGCTCGAGGAGCCGGTAGCAGAACCCGGAGCGCGCGCCCTGCACCGAGCTGCAGCCCCTGGCGCGCGGCAGCCGCCGCAGCAAGGGCTGTGTGGCCCTTTGTGCCTGAGCCTGGTGTCAGCTGCTGGGAGGGGCAGGGGAGAGCTGTGCCTCGCAGCGCGGGGGGCTCCCGGGACCCGAGCGGAGCACTAGCGTCCGCCCGCTGCTGGCAGCGGAGCTCTGCCAGCCCTCGCGCTCCCCGTGACCCCCCTGCCCGCCCCCACACCTCGTGGAGACACGATTGCCCCCGCACGTGTCAGCCTCCCACAGGGATGCCCTGCTGCCCTGCGCCCCTTCCCTGCTGGCTCCCGGGCACTGGCACCGGCCTCCAGCTGCAGCGCCCGCTTCCTCCACCCGCACACGTCCGCGCCCGGCCCTGGCCCCGCTGACCCGCGCCCCTTACCCCGCGCAGCTGGAGGGGGGCGTCTCACTCTCTCGTCCCCCCCGGGCAGGGCTGTACCTGTGTGCTGTGGCGGTCGCCTTGGAGGTGTCGGTGGGCAAGACCAACGTGGTGACAGCTCTGAACGGCTCGGATGTGCTGCTGCCCTGCGTCTTCACCACCTGCATCGGCTTCTCGGACCTCGTCTTCACCTGGTGGTACAACGACAGCACAACGGTGCGGGCCCGCAGAGTGCAGCAGTGCCAGGGCTTTATCAGGGCTGGGCCCGGCCAGAGGCCCCGCTCCCAGCGTAGGCGTCTCCCTGGCCGTGCTGGGGGGCTGGGGTACGTGGTCAGGGCAGCAGCTCTCGAGCTGGCTGCGCGTCCTCTGCGCCCTCTCCCTGGGAGAGAACAGCTCGTTTTCCAGCAAAGCGGGACCCTGTTTGCCGAGGGGCCTTGGGTTGTGGGGGCCCATCTGTGCCGGGGGCTGTTTCCCTTCCCTTCCACTAAGGAGGGTCTTGGCTCGCCCTGGTCCTGCCCTGCTGGCCTGGGCCAGCTCTGCGAGCCCCGTAGCTCCGCACCGCCCGAGGGGGCCACGTCCCGCCGCGCTGCGCGTCCGGGTCTTGCTGAGTTCGGGGAGGCGGGTCCGCTGCTGGCTCACTCTGCCGTGCCCCTTCCCCTGCAGCTCTGCCGCGGCTTCATCAAGAGCAAGGCGGTGGAGCCCAAGGTGCAGAGCGAGGACTTCAGGGTTGTCTTCGTTGGCTCAACCACTGGCAAGGACAACAACATCTCCATCGTCCTCCTCAACGTGGACTTCAGTGACGCCGGGAAGTACACCTGCCACGTCAGGAACCCCAAGGAGAAGAACGCGGAGCACTCCTCCTACATCGAGCTGCAGGTCGTGCACAAGCGTGAGTGTCTGCGGGAGAGCCCCGGAGCGTGGGGCGCGCGTGCACATCAGGCCTGTGGCCATAAAGGGGCCGGGGGGCTGGGCGCCTGGTGTTTCTCGGGGGCCGAGAGCAGACGGCTCCAGGCTGCGCTGCGGGCTGGGAGAGGTGCTAACAGGTCCATATAGCGTCAGGGAACCGTGTTAAAGACCAGCGCTGCTGGCTTGGCGTCTCCGTGGCTGCTAGGAGCCCCCGCCGTGCCCGTGCCCGCTGAGGCTGGGAGACCGCTGGGTGGGCTCCAGTGCTGGTGAGGCTTGGGCTGCAGCCGGGGAGGGCCTGGCGTCCCCTCACCCGGGCTCTCTCGTGCAGTGGTGGTGGCAGACAACACGCTGACACTCATCATTGTGGCTGTCGTGGGCGGGCTCATCGGCCTCCTCATCCTCTTCATGCTGGTCAAGAAGGTTGTCCTCTTCATCATCAAGAAGACCCAGGATGGGAAGTGAGTAGGCCTGGGCGTTGCGTCCTGGGGGAGGGAGTGCTTGTCCCGGTGGGGGGAGAGGCCAGGCGGGGGGCAGCGGGCCAGGGGCTTTGCCGGGCTGCGGGCTGCAGGGTGGCTGTGCACTGTCCCCTAGGAAGGAGTGTCTCGTGAGCTCGTCGGGCAACGACAACACGGAGAACGGCCTGGCGGGCTCCAAAGCGGAACAGAAAGTGACACCAAAGGCATGAAGCAAACGCAGCACAAAGCACCTGCCTGCAAGGAGGCGAAACCCCGCTGGAGCAGGGGCTGGACCGATGACCTTGTCAAACTAACCATGCTTAGGACCTGTCTGTATTACACACGTGCCTGCAATTCGCGCTGCTGCTTCTCAGACGAGACTGCAACCGCCGCGGGGCCCGGGAGCAGCTCGGGGGCCCCGGCTGGAGCGGGCGGACGACCCGGCGGCTCTCGGAGCAGGGACGGCGCATGTCAAGTAAGAGGGAAGAGGCAGGGGCCTGGGCTCCTGGCAGGGCTGCGGGCCGGAGCGTGGCACTGCCCGCGGCGCTCCGGCGTGGCTCTCCCCTGGAGCTCACTGCAGAACCAAATTTATGTCCCCTCGCGTGCCTGCCATGGCCTTCGCCTCCGCTCCTCGCCGGCTCTTGCTCCCCGGAGGGCCCGAGGCCCCCTGGGTGAGCCGCCCCCCGTGGGATCCCCTCTCCGCCCAGGGGCCCCTGTTGCTTGGACACCAACAGGCCTGATGTCACGGCACCGCGGGCCCTGCAAGCGGCTGGCTGCAGTCCTCGCCCCGTCCCTGCATGAGTGCCAAGGGCTGGCTCTGCCCTCCCCCGCCCTGGGTGTCCTGCTGTGCCTGGGTGTGGGGTGAGCAGGGGGCTCTGCATGGGTGCAAACCGCAGCACGAGGTGCAGCAGGGCCTGGTACGTGGCTGGAGCCCAGGTGGGAGCTCTGGGTGGGTCGGTGGCAACGAGGCCCCTCCCTGCCTGTGCGCAGCGCGCTCCCAGCTCAGACCGCAGCCGCCGGGCACCGAGCCCGGCGAGGTGTGGGGAGCCAGCTGGAGCGCTGGGCAGCCCGGAGGGACCCACGGGCTGGGCTGTCCGTAGCCCTGCTGCGTGCTCTGCTGCGGGGAGCCCCGGAGAGGCAGTCGGGCCCTGTCGGATGAGCTGATTCTCTGGCCTGTGCCTGCCCTGTCCCCACTCCCTCCCTAGGTCAGGAGCTGGACGGGGCGGTTTGCAGCTTCCAGCCAAAGGCTATGCTCCTACTGCTTTGCAGATCTCCCCGCGCCTTCGTCCAGACCCTCCCCTCCCCTCCTGGACACCAGTGACGTCCAGAGTGACACGGCTGGCGCTACCCAGCATGACGCTGGGGGGCCGGGGAGGAGAATCGGGCCAGGCGCGCTGGTCCCTGGGCCTGGCAGACCCACAGGGAGGGCCAGCATGGGCTACAGCGAGGGAAGGGGCTGCCTCGGGGTGGAGCAGGCTGGGCTGTGTCCTCTTGCTGCACATCTGAGCCCCAGCGTGGGGCTGGGGCCCTGGGGCCATGGCTGTAGATGTGGGGGTCTCCCTTGCCAGCTGGTGGGTGCTGGGGGAAGGGGGGTCCTGCACAGAGGCTGGCTTGTTCTGCCTCTGGCTTGCCTCACTCGTGCCCGGGCACCCGCCCGTTGCCCACTCGCCCTGCTGCAGCCCACGTGTCCTGGCCCCTGCGCCGGCCGCGGCCGCGGGGGGAGAAGCTGCCGCGCTTCTCGTCTGTGGATTCTGGGCTTCCTCTTTCTTTCTTCGGCTAGGCACGTGCCGAGCAGGCGCTTTAGATGCTGGCGCAGCAAGGCTTTAACAGGTTAGGCAAATATTTTTTTATAATGGATTTAACTGGGAAAACGGCTGATTCTGTTTCCCTGTCATCTAGGAACGAGCATGGCCTCCATTCACGATGCAGGGAGGGGGTCGGCCAGAGTCCAGGGCTCAGGACTTCCAGGTCCTGCTCCTGACTCTGCTGCCGACTTGCTGTGTGACCTTGGGCAAGTCACTGTGCCTCTCTGTGCCTCAGTTTCCCCATCTGTAAAATGAGGGTAATAATGCTGATCTACCTCGCAGGGGTGCTGTGAGGCTCCCTGGAGTCACATTTATAAAGTGCTTTGGACCCTTGGATGGGACGGCTGCAGGCAGCCACGGGCGGGGAGGGCGGCGGTCGAGCACGCGAGCGCAGCCACACGCGGGAAGCCACGACCGCATCGCGACAGAGGGACTCGCCGCCGCGCTGAATGCCAGGGATGCTGGCTGGGCGGCCCCCCAGACAGCCAGGAACGAGAGCCTGGGGAGGTCTCCGTTGCCCCCTGCCCTGCTCTGCTTCCTCTGCAGCCCTGTCTGCCCGGCCCCGAACCCGCCTCGCGCTCCATCCCACACCCAGCCCCGGCAGGGGACTGTTGTCATGGGGGGAGGCCCACGTCCCGCTCTGCAG